GTTAAACAGATTCATCGCTCGCACTGCTACGCCGTTATTCAGGTGGTGCTTTTCTACCAAATTTTGACTATACGAGTGAAACATGCCGACTGAGACTGAGCATGGGAGACGATTACCCACAATTACGCGGCGTGAGAAAGTGAATTGCCATTGGTTCATTTGTGATGACGTGCACTCGACGTCAAAACAAGAAGCGCACGCATGCGCTTCCTGTTTTGAAGCCAAGCACACGTAAAAACAAGAAAAACAAAGAGCGCATGAGTGACATATGATTTTTGATGATACTTGGCGCTCGTAAACCAGGACTTGCTCGGTTTCCAAGTCAAAATTTCTTAAAAATCTTTGCTCGTCTTGCGGAACACTCATAAACCGCGTTACTCGTAAACCGAGGTTCCACTGTATTGTTCTTTTTTTGAGTAGTTTGCTGAAAATAATTGTCTCATGTTAGTAGTCCTGGTTTGAAAGGCAAGATTAGCAAAGCATTAGTGTTTCTTACAATTACTGTAAAACAGACAAGGTAATATCATGTGAAAGAATTATTTTTTCTGTATGTTTTTACTACAAATTGCCCATATATAATATATTGCATATATTGTGTAAGTGTGGAGTTTAAAACAGCCATATCCTTCATTAAATTGGAAAAAAAACATCTATTAACAGTCAACTGTGAGCAGGTTTTGTCTAATCTCTGTTAACGATATTTATGGTTTCCTGTGATGTCATTCTGTCATATCTGAGTGACGTGTTCCTCCTCCTGATGTTCACTGTGTCTGTCTCTGTCCATAATGATGTCATCATTCGTCTGCTCCCAGTGTTATGATTTATTGTGTCATTGCTTGGAGATGCAAATCTCAGATGGCCTGAAGGTCCTCTTAAACCACCTCCTGTCACTGGAATACTGTCAGTCATCTATGTGGCATATAAATAACAGTCACTGCATAAGAGATTACAGACTCAGTCATTTATTCCATTAAGGAGAAGCAGGGGGTTTGACTTAATTTCTTTACGATTGAATGAGGTGGTCAAGATCATTCTTGTTTACTATCAACCTAAACGTAGCATATTAATTCTCCCACGTCAGTATTTTGTACCATACATGCTACACTCAAATCACACAGCAGTTACACTTTTATACTACAACTGAAAATGACTCTATTGTATCATCGTTTCTCAGTTCAGTATTTACATGCTACAGTACCTGCCAGCACACTATAATTCTCAGTCGACCAGGGCTGCCACTGTAACTGTGCTGATGATTTGTTTCATCCTGTCATCTGGTTTTTAATGTCTTCATTTCAAGCTTTTCTGTTATTTAGTTGTTACAAGGAAATATATTTATGCTAATTATTTTATTAGCTTAAAATATATTCACTGGCTAGAGATTACAAAAAACAGTCATTATTATGCGTATTTTATGAGTCTGATCATCTATCTTAAAATGTGTGAATGTGTGTCTGAACAGTGTGAGTGACCGGCTATGGGTTGGTGCCCCATCCTGGGTCATTTCCTGCCTTGTGCCCAAAGCTTCTGGACCATTGTGACCCTGCATAGGACAAGCAGTGATAGAAGATCGATGGACTGATAGAAGATGGATGGATGTAGACCTATTTTGAACCAGCTTGTACAGCATATTTAAACAGTGAAATGTTTCCAGACCCATGTGACCCTGTAGTGAAATGTGTAAAAATCCATAATTTACTTTAAATTAAGTACTTCATGTACTTTAAGGGGACTGGGATAATAAAACATTTCTATACAATTTTAGTTGTATGTAAATGATTAGAAATGATATTTGCAACATGTTCACCAGCAGACCTTGCCATGTTTACACTCACGCTGACAGACTGTTCCTCTGCGTCGTCTCTGGCGTGTGGCTCAGTGCCTTAGGACTCATGATCAGAAACTCAGCAGCTCCAAAAGCCTGGCTGACAGAGCGATGCCACTGTTGGGCACCTGGAGCACTTTAATCTCAATTGGGCCCTTAATCCCAGTTGAATTGGGCCCTTAATCCCAGTTGGGCCCTTAATCCCAGTTGCTTCAGTGCTGTTAGACATTTGCTGATCCTGCACTGTGACCCCAAACTTGCTCTCACCCATCTGTGTCTCTCATGAAAGGAAAACTGGGATGAATTGAGTTATTATTCATTCATTATGAACAGTGACATATATACTTTGTTTAATGTAGAAAAGTCATACATTAATTTACAAATAAAATGAACAATGAACAATGGTTATCATTCTTAATAATAGACATAATCTTCATCCATCCATCTTCTTACTGCTTATGCTGGTCAGAGTCTCAAGGAGTTTTGTTTCCTTTCTCCAAATTTAAAAGCAGAATTTCTTACATTTATTCTTTATTTGTGAAATTTCTCCCAGTATTTCATCATCAGAGCAGCTTATGAAGGGAAGTTTGACCATTTGTGTTTAATAAGCTAAGAGGCTCCTTCAATCCCCCAGAGAGGTAAACAAATTCACCCACCTGCCCGTCATATAAATGAGGTTCCTCTAAACACACAGACTTCACCATCAAATCAGCCAAAGACTTTGTGTTACAATGGAAGCTCTGAGAGTCCTGACACTTTTAATGCCTTTATTTTCATGTAAGATCACTGTACTTTATAGATGATTTTACATTTTACGTCAAAATGTAATAATTTGGTATTTCCTCTGTTCCTATGTACTTGTATATGCTGCTCAGTACAGTATAATACTGTCATATAAGTCAGTACATAACAGCTTTCAGATATTGTAAGAAGCCTGCAATAAAATTTGTCATTTTGTCAGAAAATAAAACAGACAATAATGAAAACAATCTGTGTCATTGCAATAGGAGCCAGAAGATGTCCTCATTTTCAAAGTATAGTCAGACAGTGTGTAGAGGACATGTATTACATTCATACACCGTTCACAAAAATCATGAGTAAAAATACATTTTAAATATTATATATATGTATTTTTCAGTGTTACATGGGCCTTGTGTGGCTCAGTGGGTGAGGGCACTGCTGCTGTGGTCAGACCGGACCAGCTTCGCATCCCAGACTCATCGCAGTGAAGCTATTATTGGAACCTCAAGCAAAGACCCCAAACCCTAATTGCTCCACAGACTGACTGACCCTGTTTCTCAGTTGTATGTCACTCTGTATAATAGTTTCTGTTAAGTAACTGTATTAAATGCCCTGTAATCTATTCATTTCTAAGAGAAACCAAAAAAAGCATTTCTAACTTAATCTGAAATAAAAATAATTTTAGAGGTTTCATATATATTTACACACACAGTACGTAGTATGCTTCAAAGATCATCAGTAGGAATCAATAATATCGTGCAGTAATTTTTAAAAATGCCTACCCCAAGCTCTGTGAAGGACTTGGGCGCGTTCAAGAGCCCTACAACAAAAAAAACATTTCTAACTTAATCTGAAATAAAAATAATTATTGTCCTTAAGCCTAACGCCAAGCCATTTTCCCTTAAAGTGCCAAGGAGGGTCCCATTGGCACTCATGGGCAAGGTAAAAAAACGAATTAGAGAGGATGGAGAGACTAGGGGTCATAAGTCGTGTAGAGGCACCAACAGACTGGTGTTGCTTCATGGTGGTGGCCCCGAAAAAAGACAAAGCAGAAGTCCGTATCTGCGTTGATTTGACTCCTTTAAATGAGTCTGTGTGTCGCGAAAAGTTAATTCTCCCGTCTGTCGATCAAACCCTTGGCATGCTTGCAGGAGCACGGCATTTCACCAAACTGGACGCGAACTTGGGCTTCTGGTAGATACCACTGTCAGAAGAGTCAGCTCTCTATACCACCTTCATTACACCATTTTTGTGCTACCACTTTTATTGTCTGCCCTTTGGCATTTCCTCTGCCCCAGAACATTTCCAGAATATGATGGTGTCTGAGGTTATTGCAGGTCTGGAAGGGGTTGTCTGCCACATGGACGACATTATCATCTGGGGGTCCACCCAGGAGCAGCACGACGAGAGAGTGAATGCTGTCTTGGAGCGGATCGAAAAGGTGGGAGTCACACTCAACATGTCTAAGTACGAGTTTGGGAAAAGTGAGATGAAGTTTCTCGGCTATATTATCTCTGCAAATGGCATGAGGCCGGATCCAGACAAAACCAGAGCAGTGTTGGACATGAAAAAGAGCCAACGAATGTGAGTGAGCTTAGGAGCTTCCTGGGAATGGTAAATCAGCTGGGGAAGTTCATACCAAACCTGGCAGAGAAGGAGAAGCCTCTAAGAGACTTGCTTTCCAAAAAGAATCTGTGGCATTGGAGTCATGAACAGCAGCAGGCGTTCAGCAGCCTCAAACATGAGCTTTCTTCTGCACCCGTTCTTCAATTATACGACCCTAATAAGCCCCTCAAAATATCAGGTGACGCCTCATCCTACGGGCTGGGGGCAGTGATGCTACAAAAACGGGGTGAGATATGGGCTCCGGTTGCTTATGCCTCCAGGTCCCTGACAGCAACAGAGCAGCGCTATGCCCAGCTGGAAAAAGAAGCGCTAGCTCTCACCTGGGCCTGTGAAAGGTTCAGTGACTTTATCCTGGGTGTGCATATCGACCTTGAAACAGATCATAAGCCACTCGTGAGTTTGCTGGGAGGACGGGCTCAGGACTCCTTGCCACCACGGATACAGAGGTTCAGGATGCGCTTGATGAGGTACTCCTATACCATTATACACACACCGGGTAAGAGCCTCACAACAGCCGACACGCTCTCACGCTCCCCACTCCGGAACTGCATCACACACGCAGACACCGACCTGATGGAAGATACTAATA